CATGAAGGCCTCATGCTTCACAAAGTGGCCCTGGGCATCCAGGAAGTGCTCAGGATGGAACTGGAGGGGCTTCTCCCAGACAGTCTCGTCCTTCAGCACAGAGGACAGGTTGAGCATGACCATCGTCCCCTGGCAGGAGACACATGGTATGAACATGGACTGGGGTGGAGCTGTAGAGACCCTGGCCACCATGATCACATTCAAAGTCTCTACCTCACACACTGGATCCTTTCACTCACCCTCAGCCCTGGAGCCTCTCAGCACAGTGGAGGGCCCTGTAACAGATCTCCCGAGGGTGCCCAAATCAACACACACCCTTGTGTGTAGTGTTTCCTACCTTCTCCTTGGGTCATTTTCATTTGACATTTCTCTTTCCTGAGGACTATCCATAGCTGCAGTGTAAGCAGCCAGCTTGGTCCTAGCAGCATGCTGGAAATCTAGGCTGTAGTGGTCTTGGTTTTTTCTTTTTCTTTTTTGGTTCTGTCCTTGTTTATTAGCCTTCATGATGTATTAGTAGGAGGGCCCCTGCCTACCTTGGGGATGCGGAAGCCCTGCACTTCGATGTCACGAGAGGCCAGGCGTGGCAAATGCACTGGGGAGATGTCCGCAAAGCGCTGCACCTCATGGACCACAGCATTGGTGTAGGGCATGCGGGCCTGGTCAGCCATCTCTGGACGCCGCACCTGCCCGATGACTTCATCGATCTCCTGTTGCACTCGACCTGGAGAGACAGCACCCCTCAGGGAAGGAGCCCCAGGGGAATGCCCCTTGTCCCTCTACTATACATAAGTTAAGGGCTCAGTCCATGGGAGAAAGATGGCTTCATCCTTGTCAAGCCAGTACTGGGAGCCACAAGTGTCCCAGTAAGCTTGAGGAGTGTGCCTCTACCCTCTTTCCTCTTCCCTCCCAGTCCCAGCCAGGCTCACGCTGCACATCCGGGTGCAGGATCATGAGCAGCAGGGCCCAGGACAGTGTGGTTGACGTGGTCACCATCCCCGCCATGAACAGGTCAGCCACCACCCTGCGCAGGTTCTCATCATTGAAGCTGCTCTCAGGATTCCCCTTGGCCTGGGCCAGGCAGAAAGGGTGGGATCAGTGGGGAAAGGAAGCCCCACAATGCCCCTCTCATTGTCCCCGGGCAGCCCAGGTGCTGAGTCACTTACACAGGACCTCACCCATCTGGCCTCACAGCTCACAGGACCTCAGCCCACAGCCCCTGGCTCCATCCCTCACCTTCTCCACCTCAGCCAGGAAGGCATCAGTCAGGTTCCGGGGTGGCTGGGCAGGGTCCCAGGTGATTCTGTTCTCAGTCAACAGTTTATCCACCATGGACATGAAGGTCTTCTGACCTTGTAAGGCCTTGTCAGCCAGCCCTGGGACACGCAGGAGCATCGGGAACGCATTAAGAGCCTGTGACAGCCACAGAGGGAGTCTCAGGGCTTCCTCTTTGTAAAATGAATCAATTATTAATTAATCACTCTCGTGTACGGGGCTCATGTACCATGGTGTGTGTGAGCAAGTGACAGCATCAATTGTCTCTACCCTACAGGGGTCCCAGGCCTCAAACTCAGGTCTCCGGGCTGCTTGGAAAGCTTCTTACCCGTTCAGCATTTGGCTGGCCCTCGGGGCTAGCTATGCTCAGTGTCCACGTGGACCAGTCTCCGCTGCCTCCTTCACAATGGACCTGGGCCATCACCTGCCTCCTCCTAGTCACAGCCTTGAGGCTCTTGCAGCCCCAGGTGAACAAAAGAAATATTTTACCCTGGCAACCACAGCCATAGGTGGCTTCCGTGTCGACGGAGGGCACAGGTCCTCTCGCTCTCTAGAAACCCTGAGCTGGGTCCACTTCTCCGCTCCTGTTGTCACAGGTTTGTCAACAGGCCTATCGTCCTGCAGTTGACTCCCAGAAGGCTTCTCCCCTGGCCTTGGTACACAGCTTCCTCTGGGAGGATGGACCACACAGAAGTGGCTCTGCAGGCTGCCCTGGGCCTCCTACCTCAGGAATGAAGCCAGAGACCTCTCTCAGGCATTCCTCCAATAATTTCAGCATCCTGGTGAGAAAAGGGTCTCCATATTCGAAGCGGCGGGCAAAAATGAGAGATGCGATCACATTGCACACCGATTTGTTCAGGAGGGTTTTTGGATTGAAGGGGCTCCCTGGGAGGGGAGATGCAAGCCTGTCAAGACATCCTTTCTGTCTCCCTGTGCCCATCTGCCTCCCTCAGCCATCACCCACCAGCCTGGTCGCTGAAGGCGTCACACAGGTGACCAGCCTCCTCCGTCACCCACTGCTCCAGCGATTTCCTGCCCAGGCCGAAGTTGCGCAGGGTGGACACAGAGAATCTCCGCTGCTCTTGCCACTCGGGCCCGTAAGGTGCAAAAATCACACCTGCAGACACATCTGTGTGTGACCAAGGACACCTGGCCGTGCTGCCCTCTGCTCCCGTCATTTCCCTTCGCCTCTGGGTTCAGTCCTACCCATGAGCATCTCAAAACCTTGCCACTACAACCCAGCACATGCCTCATGGGTAGCCTCCACCATGGACCTCAGTCGCTTCTTGTCGAATTGCTTGACCACGTTTGCACCCACATTCATGCCCTGGGCTTCCTCTGCACATCGCCATATCTCCAAAGCCCCCACACAGCCATTTACCTAGGGATTTGTGCCTCCAACCCAGGTACTCAAAGATGGGCGCTGGAGGGCGGTCAGCAGTGTCCTCTCCACAGGTCACCAGCACTTCCCACACGGCCTTCAGTCCATTGACCACAACCAAGGGCGTCCAGGCCATCTGCAGGCTGAACACGTCACCATAGCGGTTTTGGAGCTGAAGCACAGGGACAGAGCGCTTAGGAAGCGGAGGCCCAACACACAGACACCAATTCTAGAACCTGGCTCATTGAACAAGCCCTGGCATAATGTGAGTGCGGGCACGTGGTTCCTGTGTATGTGTGTGCGTGTGTTAGTATTACTTTGAATTGACCCTTGTTCTTCAAATATCCTGGGAAAACCGTATTTCAGTGGTTTATCAGATCCGCCAGTCATATGAAGGTGACTGTGAATATTGCCACATTTGTGAGTGCCATGCAGGTGCAGGGAATTGAACAGGGGTCCTTTGGAGGAGCAGTCAGTGCTCTTAAAAGCTGAGCCATCTCTCCAGACCAAGATATCATGTCTGACAAACAGGATGATAAGGGACTTGGGACCTTTATGGCTGCTCTCTGTTTAATCAGTCCTGAACCCTGAGAGCAAATCCTACTAGGACTTTGCCCCCTAAAAAAACTTTTGCCCTAGAAAGTCCCAGTGCCAACCCCTCGAAGCTGTGGTCTCTCTTGGGGGCCCAGCTCCCTCTGTAACCTGTG